GGAGGGGGAGATAGGAGCTCGGGTGGAGGAGGAGGCGGACGAGAAGCGAGAGCTGGTGGAGAGGAGATGCGGGGGAAGACTGTGCTGGAGAAGGATGATGGGGAGAAGCCTGGTGGGGAAGGGAAGGAGGGCCGAGAGCTGGTGGGAAGGAGAGGGGAGAAGTGGTGGAGAAGGAGGAAGAGGAGAAGGGAGAAGCTTGTTGGAGGAGGGAAGGGGAGAAGTCTGAGTGCGAGAAGGGCGGAGAGGGAGAGGCTGACGTGGAGGAAGCGAGGAGGGGGAGAATCTGGTGGACAAGGAGGAAGGGGAGAATAGAAGCTGGTGGAGAAGAGGAAGGTGAGAAAGCTGGTGGGAAAGAGGAAGGGGAGAAGGAGAAGCTGGTGGAGAAGGAGGAGGCGAGAAGGAAGGCAGGGGGGAAGGGAGCGAGCGGGGCGAGAAGAGAGGGGGAGAAGGGAGTGGTGTGGGAAGGAAAAGGGTGGAGAAGGAGAAGCTGGTGTGAGAAAGGGGGGAGAAGCGTTGGTTGGAGAGCGAGGAAGAGGCGAAGGGAGAAGGTGGTGGAGAAGGAGGGGGAGAGGTCCTTGTCCTGCCTAACCCCTGGTGGAAGGAGAAGGGAGAGAAGGCGAGAGCTTGGTGGATGAAGGAGGAATGTTGAGAAAGGAGAAGGTGCTGCGGGCATTCATTGATGTACAGGGGGGGGGCTGGGTTGGCAGTTTCCCTTCTCCTCTTTCCCTTCTCCACCAGCTTCTCCCTTCTCGCCCTTCCTCTTCTCCCCCTCTTCTCCCTTCCTCCTTCTCCACCAGCTTCTCCCTCCTCTCTGCACTAGCTTCTCCCTTCTCCCCTTCCTCCTTCTTCACAGCTTTCTCCCCCTCCTCCTCCTCCACCACCTTCTTCCTTCTTTCCCTTCCTCCTCCACCAGTTTCTCCCTTTCTCCCTTCCTTCCTTCTCACCAGCTTCTCCCCCTCCTCCTTCTCACCCAGCTCTCCCTTCTCCCTCCTCCTTCTCCACAGCTTCTCCCCTCCTCCTTCTCCCAGCATCTCTCTTCTCCCCTTCCTCTTTCTCCACCAGCCTCCCTTTCTCCCCCTCATGCCTCCCCTTCTCCTTCTCACCAGCTTCTTCTCCCTCCTCCTTCTCACCGCTTCTCCCTTCTCCCCCTCTTCCTTCTTCCACAGCTTCTCCCCCTGCCTCCTTTTCCACCGCAGCTTCTTCCCCTCCTCCTTCTTCACAGCTTCTCCCTTCTCCCCTCCTCCTGCACCAGCTCCCTTCTCCCCCACTTTCTCCCTTCCTTCTTCTCCACCAGCCTTCTCCCCTTCCTCCTCCTCCACACCTTCTCTCGTCTACCCCTTCCTCCTCCAACCAGCTTTTCCCTTCTCCCCTCTCCTCATTCTCACCAGCTTCTCCCCTCCTCCTTTTTCCCCTTCTCCTTTCTCCACCAGTTTTCCTCCCCCTCCTCCTTTCTCCTTCTCCTTCTCCACCACCTTTCTTCCCCTCCTTCTTCTCACAGCTTCTCCCTCTCCTCCGCTTACTCCCACCGGCTTCTCCATTCTCCCCCTCCTCCTTCTCCATCAGCTTTCATCCTCTCCTTCTCCACACTTTCTCCCTTCTCCCCTTCCTCCTTCTCTCAGCTTCTCCCTTCTCCCCTTTCCTCATTCTCGACCAGCTCTCTCCCCCTCTCCTTCTCCACGCGCTTCTCCCCTTCCTCCTTCTCCACCAGCTTCTCCCTTCTCCCCTTCCTCATTCTCCACCATGCAGCTTCTCCCCCTCCTCCTTCTCCCCTTCCTTCTTCTCCACCAGCTTCTCCCTTCTCCCCTTCCTCATTCTCCACCAGCTTCTCCCCTTCCTCCTCCTCCTTCTCCCCTTCCTCCTTCTCCACCAGCTTCTCCCCATCCTCCTTCTCCACCAGCTGGTGTCTTAGCTGAAGTGGAAATCGCCATATTTGAGCATATATGCGAAGTGCGCATGCGCATACGCATCCTATATCATATGACACGTGACCACTATTAAATCACTACCGGTTCAGTACCCTGTTAGGTTAGAGGATGTGACGCGTCATCGGCCGACCAATCGGAGTGCCCGCAGCTCGTGCACTAAAGCTGACGCGATGTTTTGTGGCTGCATTATTTAGGCTGGCTATCGTGTGTGTCAATGACATGCACATGGAGATGGGTGGATGGTTACTGGTAATTTAAAACGAATTCTTTCAATGTATGGCCACCATTCGACTGCGCGACTGTTTTTCAGGCACAAATGTGGTGTCGATTAGTAAATTCGCGATATTTTTTAAAAACGCCGGACAACATATGTCATAACTCTACTGGTGCACAGCTGAATTGCATGACCTAGCTTTAATATTGCCACTCGGCCGAAAACGGCCGAAATACTATTTTTCAGCTCCTGAAATTCAATTCTTAAGTATAGGATCCTATGGAAGATTTAATATCTTAATTATTAATTATCAGATGACACACAAACTGGTCCGCCTGCCGATAATTTTCATGACACCGAAAACCATGACGTAATCGCTACTTTAGCGCCACCTGGTGAAACATAAACATGTTAACACCACTGTAATGGCGGCAATGTAGTCGTAGAGTTTTTACTGTAGTTATGGAAGACGTACCAGCAGCACATTTTCCGAACGCCGGACAGCTTCAATCGGGCCCGAATGGAATGGGTTGTGGTGGCAACAGACAAAACGATGAACATTTCACGCGTCCGAAATATTCGATCCCCGGAATTCTTCACTTCATTCAATATGAGTGGGGAAAGTTTGAACTGGAGCGTTCTCACTGGGACGTGGAAAGAGCTGAACTTCAGGTTCGTTCTAACGTTCTAATCATCATTAATTACTCTGATTCATTAATTTTTTCATCGAGCAGCGGCAAATACCAGATCTGCAAATTTACGTACATCCGGTGTAATTATGATAACGTGTGATTGTTGTACTAACGCTAGTCTCGTACAGTAGGTATTATTTTTCCTTTCTCAGTTTCTGTGCGTTTGCCGAGGCGCAGTGAAACTGATCACTGTAAGCAACCTGGGGGGGGGGGAGGTCACTCCCATACTAAAGTGGTAGGCCTACGCATGCTCGTCAAAGCATCTCAAAATTGGACCCTAAATGGCATATTCAGCAGTAGCAAATTTCACCACTTATTGGCGTAAGATAATGTAAATCTTACCCCTAAATGGTGCAGACAGCGAGAAATTCGTGTAAACCCGTAGTCTCGTGCCTGCTCGTGCCCAGACTTGTGAGTGGCCGATGGCACGTATAGTATACGGTATAACGGGCACCGGGCGGGCACGTATACTGACTTTAACGCCCATCACAGTCTGACGTTGAGACTAGAAATCCCGGGGAAAATCCTTTGGAGAATATAAACACGAAAATAAATGGGAGAATCTAATGACGAAAACCGGGCGAAAAAGTGACCCTCAACGTCGAAGGTTAACCTAAAAAAATTCCTCTTTTCCTAAAGACGCCGTCGACGCTACATGGTCACTTTCGTCATTTTCTCTGACGAGCATGCGTACCACTTTAGTATGGGATTGACCCCTCCCCCCGCGAGTAGCAGCAACGTATAAATTACCTCGTATCCAAAATGCTTGCAAGCTTGGTGACAATGGTGTGTGTCCTCCACAATGGCTGTGAAGTTATCCCTTAAAGAAAGGTCATCTGTTTGTACATTATAATGCATGTTACGGCCTTGGATTAAACATATCTTTATTTGGTGATTGCAATATAACTGTAGTTATTTTAGTAGTATTTGTTATTTGGGACTGTGGCATTTAAATGTAGTTTGGTCTAGAGAATAACCCTGGCAACCCTGCTGGATATGCACTCTGTCCAGTAAAATATTGCACATAATTATTTTATCAAATAGTGGTGCTGAATATACATCTTTCAATACAAATAATATTCTAAACAGCATTATAATATATTTTCCTATACCTTCCATTTTAGGCTCGAATCGCATTTCTACAAGGAGAGAGGACTGCACAGGAGAACCTAAAAAATGACCTTATCAGGCGTATCAAGATGTTGGAGTATGCATTGAAACAAGAAAGGTAGCTGTCGCCAGATGAAACGACTGCAGACTAATCCATGTTAAACAAAATTAACCTATTAATCCGTAGGCAAAAAACTGCAAAGAATTGAGGTACACGCTAAACTTAACTAAGTAGCACAGATGATTCCGAATACAAGATCATTGGCCAATAACGTAAACCAATAACAATTAACATACAGTCTATTACAATTGTTGTCACGGTTTTAAACTGCTTGTGACTTCATAACGTAATGTTTACCTCCCAGCCTAACCCTAACGAATAACTGAAGGAAGTGCAGGTAAGCACTCGGAGCAACAGATGGTGTTAAATTGTGCTACATTATTCATGTTATATATAGATTTATATCGTACCTGTGTTGTGTTGCATGAACTGATGCATAAACACTGCAGTGCAATGAGATTCACTATACATTAACATTCATTGCGAAACTCAAATCTGTCGTTCGGCCATTTTAAATACTAAATGCTATTAGAATAAATTAGAATAAACCAGTTGCTCAATGTGTAAGAGCATGTATTAATTCACACATAACAAAAAGTATGTGGTACTATATATGCCTTTCAAATGATCAAGTACCGAATAATTTTCTTTCAGAAAATAAGACCAACTTAAAATTATTTATTGATTGGCATAATCAGACCAGTCGGTCAAAGTTGGGCCGAGTAAAACGATTTGACAACTAAGTTTATCTTAATTATCTCCGAATCCACTCCGAATTATCGTTGAACTTGTGAATTTACGTTACTGTACTGTGTGCAAGTGTGTGCCGTTCGCATAGGAGCAAATTTCTTTTGGCATGCCTTCGAACTGGTTCGCGAGTATTCTACGAAGTAGGCAACGAGGATCGCGTGTGCCCGCCGTGCTAAATCAAATGTTAACGTTCACAGGGGGAAGTATCACAAGCTGAAGTACGGTACAGACCTGCTGCAGGAGAACACTATGCCAAGCCTCGACGACCACGGTATGCTAATCACTCTGACAATATCTGTTAATCTCAGTCGTGCGGAAGCATTGGAAGGTCGTTTGCACTACCATTGATTAATGCCACGCGTGTAGGTGCGTACGTTACAGCGTGCGTACATGCGTGTGAGGGAGCGTATGTGCATGGTGTGCGAAAGCATTCGTGGATGCATGTATATATATATTATATATATACAACATACATACATATCTAACTTGTTCATATGTGAATATGTACATCTAATATCTGGAAGCATAGTTTTGGTGTTTGTGAATATAAGCAAACGTGTGATTATGGTCTTATCATTGGGAATTTATTCTTAGCGGTACCCAGTTCATAATCGTTTGTTATTTTGCTTCGTAAACAGATGAGAGTCTAGAACTGGAACCGTATCTACCAACGAATGGCAACAAGCCATGGAGGCAGGGAAGGCAGCTGCTGCGACAGTAAGCATAGTATAGTCCCGGGTGAAATGATAACGAAACGTGGAAGCAGCTTCCGTTCTCGGGGTGAAATGTTAAAAAAACCTTGAAGCCAGGAGTCAACTTCTGACAGAAATAGCGCAGCAATACAGGAGCGCAGTGCAGTAAATCACAGTGCAATATAGTCACGATTGGTTGGGAACACAATGTTAAACAGTTGAGGCAGAGTAAGTGGTACAGGAGGATCTGAGACAGTAAGCGTGGTAATCGTGCAGCTGGGGCAGGCAGGCAGGTAGCCAAGACATCTCTGTTGTTCACCTGACGTTAAGACGGCCTTTCGCGGTCGGCGGCGTTTTCGCAGGTACCTGAAGGAGATTGGCTACACTGACGCCATCATAGACGTGCGCTCGTCGCGCGTTCGCTCGCTTCTCGGACTCTCGCCCCCCGAGAGCGAGGCTGGTAGTGGGCGCGAGAGAGAAGTCGCCCCGGTCGCCGCCGCCAATGGTGAACAGTCGACGAAGAGGGTTATCGACACACAGGGAGGCCGACGGTGGGTGGTACACCAGGTGCTGTGTGTGCGTGCGTGCCTGCTTGTGAGCGTGTTGGTAGGAGGTGGGGTTGGGGTTTGGTGTGCAGGAGAGGTGAGGGATGGTTGTGGGTGGGTGGGTGGATGGGGAGGAGGTGATAGTGGTGTTTGTGCATGTGTGCATGTTGGCGGGAGGTGGGGTTTGGTGTGCAGGAGAGGTGAATCTTCGATGCAACCATTTATTATAGTTCGCCTAGCCGCCGTATCAGTCTCGGTCGCGCCACCGGTCACAACACTAGCGTTTTCAAGCGGCAAACCGTGAGTTAGCAATCCCCTTGGGTTAGTATCTATGCGCTATGCTATGACCGGTAGGAACGTGTACTAACTATCATATGGAGCGAACGATTTGAGTTACATTTCTATAAATTCTAGCTGTTATGGACACATGTCTTAGCCTTAATCTCTGTGAATTTTCAGTCTATTGAAGCGCGATTAGTCTAATTAATTAGCAAATATGCACGCGCGGCTATGACCGGTGAAACGAAACGTCATGAATTCTATTTTTATCCTCCAAAAATGGAAAAGTGGGCGGGGTCTATTTTTATCCCCCAATCACAGGTCGGAGCAATTCCTCTGTTTAGACGCATGTAGACCACAGGGGTCTAGGGACCATAGGGGTATAGAGTTATATATAACTCTATGGATAATGGGTCATACTCAGAGGATTCCATATTTAGTTCGTGTTCGCGGGGAGAAAGACTGGAAGAGTAGGTGCATGCTAGGGGACAGTGGGTGATGGGCATTACGATTGTCCCGCGGTTAAAAAGTGCGTTAATTTCCAGTTCGTAGTTAAATAAAATCGTAATTCCCGATATCTTATTCATATTAATGTAAACAAGTTATCTGGTATTTTTCGTTTTGCTGACTAGTCCAATCCCGCGCCCCGGCAATAAGCTTCCCCCCTCTAGAAATTCTTCTCTCCTTCTTGGCGATGAGCCAATAGTTACTTATGTGGCACGAAAGGAGAATTTGGGAATGCAGTGATTATATTTTAGATTACATAATTATCAAGAATTATATGGCTACAAGTCGACAAATTTTAGATGCTGCATTACTTAGCAAGATAACAATTAAAGGCAAAAATATAGTTTTTAATTTAGAGAATAAGTTTGCTATTTATATATATAATATTATCTAGCCGCAAGTTTTGGTTTTATTCATGTATTTATGTCATTTATTTCATGTATTATTTTCTAGTTTGAATGTACGCTTGGAATAATATTCAAATAATTAAACAATCAAAATAATATTCAAAAACAGAACTAAGAGCAGATGAAAGCATAGACTGGTGCCCGTTCGCCACGTTCACTCCGGCTTATATCCTTCGCTACACTGACGTTAGTGTAGCGTGTGGCACTGTCGACCGGGTATCAGTCTAATGAAAGCACAGAGCAACATCAGCGCAACCAGCAATTTTGGAAGAGAGTAGTCCGATGAATGTAAAGCAGATGTCGTTTTAGCAAATTCGGTTATAAAATTGATAATTTTGGCCGTAGTTTTGGCTTTAATGCGCTGTAATTTAAATATAGCCACATAATTAATTTTACACCAGGGAGGGCAGATACTGTGCGGTGTCGCGCGAAATATCTGACGAGTGCGAAATATCTGAGATAGTCCCACCCCGCCCCGACCCGACCAATGACAGCTCGTCTTCGTGGTACGATAGGTTGTGTACACTTGAAGGTTTGTGTAAAATACCAAGTTCTGGTACAGGGTAGCGAAGGAGCAGTGTAGGGAGGGGGAGGGGGAGGGGGAGGGAGGAGGAAGTTTAGAGTAGTACTAGTAGGTGGAGTAGGGAGAAGCTAGTGAAGAATGAGGAAGGGGAGAAGCTGGTGGAGAAGGAGGAGGGGGAGAAGCTGGTGGAGAAGGAGGAGGGGGAGAAGCTGGTGG